ACACTTGCTGCGCAATCAACAGCTCTGCAATGGCTTTGAGAGTCAGTAAGTTATTGAAAATGCAGTACTGCATCTTTATAAAACAAATTGGGACAATTTTATAAAGACCAAACGGCCTTGGGAATAGAGATATGTGATGGTCTGGAACAGTGTAAAGGGGATCACTTGACCTTTTTGGTTTTGAATGGATCGTCACAATGTTGGAAGTAATTTAAACGTTGAATCGATGAGTCTTATCATGAACATCAATTCAGTCTTAACTTGGATGTTGATTTCCTTCCAAGAACAGTGGTAAATAAGTTTAGAAATGTGGAGTCCTGTAGCTCAGTGGTTAGAGCACTCGCTTTGCAAGCGAGAGACCTGAGTTCAATTCCAGGCAGGTCAGGGCGAAACCTTGGGCAAGTTTCCTTACTCCACACAGAGCCTAATAATAATCCCTCCAAAACCAAAAACAATAATAAATTGTTCATTTTCAATCTACGACTGTTTGTGAGACATTGCTGTGCGCAATTGGCTGCCGCGTTCGCCCACAAATATACAGTCAATTCACTTTACAGTGTGTTCTGTGAAGCGCTTTGGGACGTCCTCCCGACGTGAAAAGCGCTATATCAAATGCAAGGATTATTATTATAACAGTATTTTTGATGTACTTCCTTAGGCTGGAGTCAGCTCACTGTCATGCATTGTGTCATGCTCCCTGATCATCTCGGACAGGATAACTTTAGACCTCCCCTTCTGGAGATGCTGGCCCGGCGTTGGCAAGACCGTTGCTTAGAGGTGAGAAAGAATGTCGCTTTGGACTTGGCGCAGTGAGTTGTCACCATATCGTGAGGGGAAAGAGCCTCGTGGAGAGGAGCATCTGCAGGACAAAGCCCTAACGGGTAGGTTAGCCCTAGCTGGACAAGCAGCAGGAAAGATTGCCAGACAGTGGTCTCAATGGCAAGCTATGCGGTTTCAGCTGGTTAGACTCCAGCAGTTACCCCAACACACACCCTGGGGTCCCCAAAACCTTGACTCTTGTCAACCTGCACCTAATACTTTCCGGGATTAGGTAAGCAGGATGAGTCCCTCCAGGTTAGAGAGAGCGCATTCCATTCCAACAATCTATCGCTGGAATTTCCATGTGTAGGTGGGATGCAGGGAATTCTCGGTTTGGTTTGGATGCTCTTAACAACAACAAATTACAGTTGTATAGCGCCCTTCATGTCGGAAAGACTCCCAGGGTGCTGGACAATCAGGCTTAATCATGATGTGGGTGTCCGCATGTGTCAGACACCTGGCTGACCAAAAAAAAGGAGGGGCATCATTTTCAACGCCAGCACTTTACAACTTAAGTATTATTATTATTACTTATCTATTAAATTCATCCGAGTTGTGTTGAGAAAATTGTTAAAAGTCGACACTCCTTAAATGATAAAGAAAACAAAATTAACGTTAAATAAATTATACTTTTTTAATTGTAGAAATGTGGACTCGCCTTGCAAGCGAGTTGATATGAGGCTGGTTGCATATCAGAATTTATACCCTATATTTTATCAGTTGACACTTCGCTGACTGTGAGTTTCAGCAGCACGTGTGAGACTGGTAAATAGCTTCTGGTACCTATGTTTGATAAATGAGCAGGTAGCCTTAACATTGCACCTCTGCTGGAATGACAGAAATTGTGTTGAAAGTACAGATTTGCAAAAAAATGAGATAGCATTAAGGGGTTGAGGGAGGGTGAGCCAGGATTTTCACCAAAAATAGCAATTAGCTTAACCCTACCCAAGTGGTGGCTGTCTGCCTCTGGCTTAGCGTTTAGGGTAAGGATTATGTTTGGTTGCTCATGGGACATTGCTGGTGCAGATTGACAGCTGTGTTTGACGACATAAAAATATCCCTTGCACTTGATTCACGTTGTCGAGCCGTCTCGAGGGGCTTCGCACGGTTTTAGTATGAAGTGTAGCGACTGTATTTCCAGGTCAACATAGCAGCCAGTTTGCTCATAACAATGTCCCACAAACATGAAGTGAGTGACCAATTTGGGGGATTGTGGGCCCTGACACCAGGAGAGAGAAACTCCCTCTCTTTTCAAATAGTGCCATGAGATCTTTAACGTCTCGTCCAAAAGATGGCACCTCCAACAATTCATCACACCCTCACCACTGCATTGGAGTGTCAGCAAACACTGTTGAGCTAAAAGTTCCAATGTGGGGCCTGAACCCAAAATAGAGGCAAATGTGCCTCGCGTAACATTCTACATTAAACGTAAGTTTATTCCCAGAGCATCATCCCTCTTTTGGTTGAATCATTAATTTCAGTCCTAACTGCGTTCTTAGAAAGAAAAGAATAAATGGGTTGTTCCTGCTGGTTGGGGAGTTCATAACTGCATGACACAGACATAAGATGGTGCTAAGGGGGCCTCAAAGACAATTAGGAAGAACTATTTCAAGCAGAGAGCAGTGAGATTGTGCAACTTGCTGCCCGAAGCAGTGGTTGAATCAAATAGAATAGATGCATTTAAGAGGAAGCTAGATATAAACATGAGGGATCAGATGGGCTGAGTGGCTTGTTTCCTTGTAAGCGAAGTTTTCTACCTGGTTTCCTGGTTTATATTTCCTCCTTAATTTGAGGCACAAGAGATGCCCAAAGCACCGAGTATTTGAGTATAGCTACCTAAGAAGCTTTTTCTGATAAAGGATAATATGCTTAGTAATGGAGAGAAAGTGGATTAATATGAAAGCAATAACTTCATTACTGGAAACAGCCATAGGAAATACACAGCACGGCATGAAAGGAGGCTATTCGATCCATAATTAATAATGATAATCCTTGCATTTGATACAGAGCCTTATCATGTCGTTGAAAAGTCTCAAAGCGCTTCACAGAATATATTATAAAGTGGATTGACTATGTATTTCGTTGTCTGTGCTAACTGGATCCCTCCATCAGGTTTATCTACTCAACATTAGTTCCCATTTAAAAATACAAGACATTTCTGATCAGTTTGGGTTCTATTCTGTTCTATGTGTGAGGCTGTGTGTATTCTCCAAGACACCAAAAAGTTCTCAGATCATAGTTAGTCTTTGCTATAACTTTCACCAAGAAGCTCCAGACACTGTACTCCGTCCTACAGATGAGATATTAAACCAAGGTCCCGTCTGCCTGTTCAGGTGGACGTTAAAGACCACATGGCACTATTTGAAAAGAGAAGGGAGTTTCTCCTAGTATCCTGACCAACAATCCCCCTAAAATACAATTGTTTGTGGGACATTGCTGTGTGCTACTGGCTACGCGTTCCGCCCACAAAATACACAGTTAATCCACTTTAGGTATATCCTGTGAAGCTCTGTAGACATCTTGACTATGTGATGTGGTGAGGATTACTATTTTTATCATAAATGCAGCTCACGTAATCAAGGTCAGAATAACTTTCAAAAATTCAGTTGTATATCTGAGCTGGAGCCATATCTTCCATTTGTCAAAGGCAGTTGCTCATTTCTTAGGTAAAGAGATTTAACCCTTATGTTATTTTTCCAAGAAGAATAAGAAAACCATTAGTTTCTCACGAGAAACGACTGCTACCACCTGTTCTGTCAGCTTAAAAATTCCAAAATATCTAGACGTTCAAAATACAACTTTGCAGGAAGTGCTGCATCTACTGAGTGAACATCTAACAGAAAGCGTAACTTTCTGCCAGACTTGATCTTCGCTAGTTTCATGTCATGTTAGCTAATAAGAATTTGGTATTTCGTGCCACAGAGCGCAAATTTTAAAAATGGTAGTTTCATCCCTTGGTCTTTTGCAGGACTTTTCCGTGTGATGTTGTCCACCGAGTTCACTTATAAAATACGCATAATATATTTACGTTATATGAAAATAATGATAATAATCGTTGCATTTAATATAGTGCCTTAACATGTCATTGAGACGTCTCAAAGCGCTTCGCAGAATATACTATAAAGTGAATTGACTGTATGTTTATGCATGGAACGCAGAAGCCAATTGCACACAGCAGTGTCCCACAAACAGTTGTGGATTGAAGTGACAAAATTGTTATTTTTTGGATGGATTATTACCCCCAGAAAAACATTCCGCCAATCGACTAACAACTGGGTTCCTACTTCCTTCTAGCTAAACGGAGTTAGGAAATTTGTTTTAAAGTTTTGCCTTGGCCAGGACTCCATGTATCGTGTAGGCGAGTGTGAAGCACTTTGAGACGTCCTTCTGATGAGAAAGATGCTATATAAAATGCAAGAATGTTATTTTATGGTCTCTCTCTGTGTCTCTGTGTGTTGGTTTAGGTGCGAGGAGCTGCCCAGGCATTGCTATTGGCAGAGCTTGGTCGAATTGGGAAGGAAGGTCGGAAGGAAACCATAGACTCGTGGGCTCCATACCTGCCTCAGTACGTCGACAGTGTCATGTCTCGTAAGTACACGCTCAGCGCCATGCAAAACCAGATCAATTCCAAAGACTTGTAGTAAAATGCTACCTATTTACCCCTTGGAATCTGCGAGTCATTTCAGCCCCAGAGAGATAGGTTGCAAGACTCCATCACTTTATTTGTAAAAAGGTTTCAAACAAGTGCACGGTGTCTGCAAAGAGACAGCCCCAAATTTTTCAGCAATGCAGCTGAATTAGCATGAATTGCAAGTGGGAAATTTAAATCGCACAACATTTCATCTGCAGATGAATTTCGTTTACTGCGGTGCCTCTAAAATGTGCTTGCTGGATGCAGTGGAGTTTGAAGGACTGTGCTTAATCGGGCATTTCTGGCACGATTTCCGCCATTTGCAGTGTAATGCCCAGGCCTTTCCAGCACAGTTCCCCAGGAAAAAGGTTTTCGGTGATGGGGAGCTGTAGTTGATGGGAGGAGAACTAGTGCCAATACAAAAGTGACTAGCTGTGTGTCCTCCTCCAGTGCTGTAAACTTAATATGATAAAAAAAATTATTTTGATGAGTAAAAGGTATTTTATTCCCCCTTTAAGTCTGCACATTCAATAGAAGGCATTATTTATTTCCACATATACCATTTGATTGTGTTTGAAATTTAGTTCTATATGCCGTGTGCTCTAAGGAGCCACTTCTGTCTAGAACCATAGACATTTACAACACAAGGTCATTCACCCATCGTGTCTTTTGAGAGCAATCCTTTCAGTCCCATAGTCTTTCAGTACAATAGCCTGTTACTATTGTAAATAATGTGTGTGTGGGGGTGGGGGGAGAAAAGGTTTATGGTTTTCTTGGATTATATTTATTTCGTTATCATCCAGAGTTACCCTCAAATTAATTGACTACTCCTTTCATTGCTTGTTGGATGCTACTATAGTAATTTACAGCACAGGAGAAAGCCATTTGTCCCATCGTGTCATCTTAGTGTTACCATAGCAGTTTAGAAGCCACATTTGCCTATATAACATTCACCTTAATTTATTCCGATAAGGTGCTTTGAGACGTTCTGTTTTCTGCGAAAGGCGCATATTATTGTTATTATAATCGATTTAACAATTTAGTCCTGGGATATGTAACCTTTGCACTTACGTTCCATATCTTGTTCAATAGATTTGGAAACAATAGATTAAATTGCTGGCTACTTTTTCAGGCATTTCATTTATAGGGACAAATGAGCTGAATTGTTTATTGTTTAACTCTATTTAAAAGTTAATTGTTCCAATTAGTTTTATTTCCTCAGGGGCATTAACAGGCTTTTGTGGTAACTGAATGACAGAGAGATAGGGAGAGTGAGAGAGAGAGAGAGAGAGAGAGCGCAGCAAGAACAGGAAATGTAATTTGTTCCCGGTGTATGTTGTATCAGTATTTAAAACCTGTGTGTGTTGAATGCATCTAAGTGCTGTGAAATATGAGATTGATTAATCTGCTAATGGCAAGTATTAGGAATGTGGTTATTATTTATTATATCCCTAGAGGGAATTAATCCAGTACCTATTGTGAATTTTTTTGACAGCAGACAGTCAGTTGAACAACCACTTAATTGATTTTATAGCAAAAAAATCAGACTCTTAGCATTTTGATAAAGATATTTTTCCTGTTGACTTTCATAAGTGTAATCTAGAGGCTGTTTCACTCCAGAGCAGGTGATCTTCACTCGAATTCTTCTTTACATGTTTTTACAGTCAGATTCTCGAACAAAGTTATTTTGCTTAATTTTACTTAATTTTTCTGTCAGGTCAGTGGCCCATTCTTCTTGTCATATCAGCACTGTCAGTGGTCTGAAAATTATCATGGTTTTAGCCTTAAGACCTTTGTTTGCCTAGCAGTAAGTAGGAGCCTGGTTGTTAGTCGATTGGCGGATTGCTTTCTGGGGTAATAAACCCTAAAAATTGTTTACTCAATCCACAACTGTTTGTGGGATACTGCTGTACGCATTTGGCTGCCGTATTTCATCCACAAAATACACAGTAACTACACTTTACAGTATATTCTGTGAAGCGCTTTGAGACATCTCAACAACGTGATAAGGCACTATATTAAATGCAAGGATTATTATTATTGACATTAACACTTAAGATTGTGCAATTTTTTAAAATTCAGTCTTAATTGGAAATTTGGAATTAATTTGGGTTTAAGAATAATGGCTCAGCTGTTCCCTCAGATTAATGGCACGTTCACCTCTGAGTTGGGAGTTTATGGGTTCAAGTCTCAAGTCTAGGCTGACCCTCCAGTGCAGTGTTTGGGGTTTGCTGCATAGTTGAAAAATAGGAACATACAGGACCAGAAAAAAAAATGTGATCTATTTGGCTAGTCGCAACGTTTACAAAAAAAATCCTGCATTTTTCTATGTTTTATATGCCAGGAATCGATTTTTTTCGCCAAATAGCTATGTAATTCCCTCTTGAATTTGTTGACGCAATCCGCCTCCAAGGCCTCCCTGGGTAGTCCATTCCACGTAATCACTGCGCCTAGGTTGTGTCATCAAATCTGAATCTTCAGCGATTATCAAATGGTCATCCAAAATATTTGCTTTCACTGTTCAGACAATTACTACAAGCAAACGGGGCCTGAAATTCCATCTCGTCTTCGACCTGTAAGATCATTTTGTCTTTCTTTTCAACCGTGTTGAGTCACTTCCCCCTTCCCAGCGCCGTGCTCCGCTCTGGGATGCCACCCTGTGTAAGGGACGGTGTGTAAATGCGAGTTATTGTTGTGTTAAAAATTTTAGGATTGTGCAGAATTGTGGAAAATTCTTCAATTCAGTCTTAACTTGGATGTTGATTTCCTTCCAAGAACAGTGGTAAATAAGTTTAGAAATCAACACAAAGAATTTTCCACAATTGTGGTCTGGGCAGGATGGACAAACTACATCTGAGCAGAGCTGGCACCAGTCTCCTTGCTGGAAAAAGTACTATTATTATTATTATTACTAGTGTCGTGGGGAATGATTTACAATGACATGGCAAGTAAATGGGACTGAAAGGATTGCTCTTTAAAAGAGCCAGCACAGATACGATGGGCCAAATGGCCTTATACAATAACTCTTTCATTTGATAAAGCATCTTATCATGTCTTCAAGGGCTCCACAGAATATAATGTATATTTTGTGGACGAAACGCGGCAGCCAATTGCGCACAGCAGGGTCCCATAAACAGTCGTGGATTGAGTAACCAAATTATTATTATTTGGGTTTGTTTTGTTCTGTAGATTTCTAGGTGATTCATTTTAAGACAAGATCTAAGTGGAATTTCAGGCCTCTTATCTACAAGATGGCAGCTAGCGTGTTAACTGCAGCCGTTTACCACAGAAAAACTGCATGGTAGGTTCAAAGTACAACATTAGATAAAAACAACTTGTTAATAAACTGTAGCAACTTTTCTAAGAGATCAAAAAGCAACTACTTCACAATTTAATGCAGGCTATCAAACAAAAGTTTGAAAAAAAATATCGTTTGACAAAGTGTACAATTTAAAAAAAAATCAGATGGCGCTCACAGTGATTTAGGAAGAAAATGGCTTTATGGGCTGACAGTCATTTCAACGATTCATTTTAGTCTCAACACTAAGTGGGTTGACGAGAAAGAGAGATACATACTGGTGATACGCACTCAGTTTGCATACTTTATGCTTTAAAGCTGTTAGGTGGAAGCAACCTAGCCTGAGACATTTGTGGATAGTGTTAATCCCAAAGTTACCAGATTACGTTCACTGACATCCATCTCCATTCACTCCATCCCGAAGTCACTCCTTCACTCCCCACTTTCAAAGCTCTCCTTAACACTTAAGATCAGCTGCTTAAAACACTTTGAGGCATCCTCCCGATGTGAAAGATGTTATTATACAAATGTCTGATTGTTAATGTACGTAATTAACTTGAGAGCATCCCAATTCATGGCATCGTACCAGAAAGGAAATTCTACATAAAATGATCTGTATTCAGGCTGTCTCAAACCAAAACTTTTAAACCGTGGGCAACTGAGCGACACTAATAAAGCCATTTACTTTAATATTTAGGCAAGCAGGTTAAATTGTGTGTGGAAGGTCATGCAAGTTTCAGCACCCGTCTACAAAACTTCCAGTTTTGATTTGGAACTCCCATTCCTCTGCAGCCAAATCGCTGGTTAAACGTTTCACAGAGCAGCAGGTTAGAAACACAAACCGTTCATATGCCCTGTGTGAATGTCAAGTTCAAACGTGTTCAAATGTAAACATGTGGCATATTCTACTTTCAACAAAACATAAATGGTCCAGGGATGGGAGAAAACAACAGAACTTTTGCTCGACTTCAACTCACCGCACAAGTGCGTCCACCTACACTTGTCCACCTTTGATGGTACTGTAAAGTCGCATGGTAAGTAAGAGCAAAACTGATGGAAGAAGGCATGAAGTATTAGAGAAGGAGGAGAATACCTTCATTGACTGAGGGGCAGCTGTGTAAAACAGAGCCAGAGCCGTCAGCCTCAGAGGCAGCCAAGGCAGCTTGCAGAAGAGAAAGGGAAGACAGGAGAGAAGAGAAGCAGAGTAAATTTAGGGGAAAATAATAATAACAGCGTTAGTAGGAATGGAAAAAAAAAAGAGACCGCAAGAAGTATATCGAAGAGAATTATCTCATGCTTGTGCAGAAGTACATTTGGTAGAATCCACAGTTCCTTTACCCACCATAAGACCTTCACATTATAAACCGGGATACCATTTTTTTTGCTTTCTGCCATGACCGTGAAATACAAGTGCTCAGATGTCTGCAACATCAATTTAAAAAACACAACAGTTGGTCAACTAATGAGCATCACTACAGTGGAGTCCTGTAGCGTAGTGGTTAGCGCTTGACTCACAAGTGAGAGGGTTCGATTCCCGGGCTGGGCGAAACCTTAGTTAATTTTCCTTACTCCGCACACCTCTGTTTATCTAGTAGTAAGAAGGAAGCCGGTCGTTTGGCGATTGGCTAACCGTAACAGACGGGTTCCTTCTTACAGGAC